CACTGTAAATTCCCCTGCCCTTCTAAATACTAAAGCAGGGGGGGGGGGGGATTACCCCTCTGATAAAAAAAAATCAGGTGATTAATGACACTTCCCTAAGTTAATCTATACAACTTGAGCCTAATACCTATTAATATATATCTTATATGATTTTTAAATTTTGTAAAATAAAATTAATTAATAAATCTAATAAATTGTAAAACAAACAAAAACTTAACTTACTTTTTTTAAAAAAACTTTTAAAACTACACAGAGTCTTAAAAGCAATAATAAATAGTTCTTGTATTTTCATTTTGTTATTATTTTTTTTTATACTATTTAGCCAAATTGCAGAATATTAGTGCTTGTCTCTTTTTTAAAAAATTTTCAATATTAATTAGTTTATCAAATGAAATTTATTCTACTATATTATCATATTGTTTTAAATAATTATCTATTTTCTTATTTCTACTAGTATATTTTTGTTCAAATTTTTTTTGGTTTATTTTTAAATATATGAAATAGATAAGATTATAATATCAGTTCACAATGTATAGAATTAAAAATATTTGTAAAATTAAAATTTTACAAGTATGAAAATTGATAATTTAGAGTATATCTTACTTATTTGTATCTTTTTTTCTTTACTAATTTTTTATTGGAAAGATTTATACTAATTTAAAATAAAAATAATAATATATATTAAAGTTTAATTTTTGTATTACTGTATACAGATTTTTTTATTATATAGTTTTTGCTATTATTTAATATATAATCTATGTTAGTACTATACCTTAGCTAATTTATAAAGCATAATGTATACACTAGAGCTGGTGTATATTTGCAATTGCATAATATGCACATAAACATGATATTTATTATATAGCAGATTAGGATGTCTAATGCATATCTAATTATAAACTATATAGCTAATATTTTTTTTCTAATACTACAAGAACTAAAAAATGATTAATATAATAAATTTTGTTAGCTAAATATTATATACTTATTGCAGGTTGTGAAAATCAAGCAGATTAATATTTTTTTTAAAAATATTAATTCAATAGATTTCTATTAATAGTAGCCAGGTTATACAAATCAATATATATATAAGTTTTTTTTTACAATATTCTAATTCTTTTTAATATATTATGATAGTGTTGTCCATTTTTGATATCTGAGTTAAATTTAGTAAACTGGATATTTTTGAACATTGTTTGATATCTAAGTTCAAATTTTGTCTATATAAATATATTGTTATTTGGATAATATTCAAGTAATATATCTCGAATTCAAATACTCAAACTTGAATATTTTCGGACATGTCTGAGTTTGTAATATAAATTTTATTTTGATTTATTTATATACTATTGTTTTAATTAGCTATTAGATAATAATTAATATATAGCCGATATGTTAATAATTAATATATAGCTAATATTAATATAAAGCTAATATGATAACAAATTAAATATCAAACAAATTAAAAACTTAACAAAATTTTATTTATTAAATTTTTCATAGCAACCCCAATTACTTACTGCTCAAACTATTGGCTATAATTATTATACTAAACTTTCATCTTTCACCAACTGAATATCTTAATTCTATATTTTAATAAAATATAAGCTTTCAAAAAAAAAAATATTAGCAAAAAGAAGCTACAAAATATAAAAGACAAAACTAGAAGCTAGTATTTATTTTATTTACTAGTTCTAGTTTTTATAGAACCAAATCTCTACTCCTGATTCCAATTTATCTTCTTTAGTACAAGACTACAAAAAAAAAAACTGTTAATGAAAAGAAAAAGCTACAAAACACGAAAAGACAAAACTAAAAGCTGGTACTTATCTTATATATTAGTTTTAGTTTTTATGAGTCCAAAACTTCAATCCTGATTTCAATTTACCTTTTCAAAATTAAGTACAAGACTACAAAAAAAAACTATTAGTAAAAAGAAAAAGCTACAAAATACAAAAAGATAAAACTAGAAGCTAGTATTTATCTTTTATACTAGTTCTAGTTTTTACAAGTTCAAAACTCCAATCCCAATTCCAATTTACTTTCCCGAAGTTAAGTACAAGACTATAAAAAAAAATTATTAGTAAAAAAAAAGAAGCTACAAACACAAAAGAACAAAACTAGAAGCTAGTACTTATCTTATATACCAACTCTAGTTCTCACAGATCCAAATCTCCAATTCTGATTCCAATTTATCTTCTTAAAATTAAGTACAAGACTACAAAAAAAAAAACTATTAGTAAAAAGAAGAAGCTACAAAATACAAAAGGACAAAACTAGAAGCTAATACTTATCTTATATACTAGTTCTAGTTCTTATAGGTCTAAATCTTCAATCTTGATTTAATTTACTTTTCTGAAGTCAAGTACAAAACTACAAAAAAAAAACTATTAGTAAAAAGAAGAAGCTACAAAACACAAAAAGACAAAACTAGAAGTTAATATTTATCTTATATACTAGTTCTAGTTCTTACAAGTTCAAATCTCTAATTCTAGTTTCAATTTACCTTCCCAAAGTTAAGTACAAAACTACAAAAAAAAAATTATTAGTAAAAAAAAGAAGCCACAAAACATAAAAAGACAAAACTAGAAACTAGTACTTATCTTATATACCAATTCTAGTTCTCACAGGTTCAAATTTTCAATCCTGGTTCTAATTTATCTTCCTGGCAAAGCTCAAGACTACAAAAATAAAGAAACTATTAGTAAAAAGAAAAAGCTACAAAATACAAAAAGACAAAACTAAAAGCTAGTACTTATCTTATATACCAATTCTATATAGTTCTCACAAGTTCAATTCTCTAATCCTGGTTCTAATTCATCTTTTTGGCAAAGCTCAAGACTACAAAAATAAAGAAACCATTAGTAAAAAGAAAAAGCTACAAAACATAAAAAGACAAACAAGCTAGTAGTTATTTTATACTATATACTAGTTCCAGTTCTTTTGTATCCAATCTTCAATCCTGGTTTCAATTTATTTTACAAAAAAAAAAACTATTAGTAAAAAGAAGAAGCCAAACAACAAGAAAGACAAAACAAGAAGCTGGTACTTATATATTAATTCTAGTTTTTTCAAATCTAAAGCTTCAATTTATCTTTTTTCTAGCAAAAAAAAAAAGATATTTAAATTTAAAAAAAAAAGATTAATTTTGTAATCAATATATAGGAGAAGTTAGTAGAAAAGAGACAAATTATTTTTAGTAAACTTTTTTTAATTTTTAAATTAAAATATTTCAACAACTATTTAATCAAATTTGCTAAAAATTTTTTTATTTTAATCTTAAAATTATATAAAATTAAAATAAAAAAAATTATTAAATTTAATAAAATAGTTGTTAAGATATTTAAGCTTAAAGTTAAGAAAACTTTTACTTAGAAAAAATTTGTCTCTTTTCTATTGACTCACCTCCATATATATACAGTATATATATATACTATAATATATCTAATATTTAGCAAAGATGATCAAATAATTAGCTAGCAATTATATAGATCAAAACATAATCATTAGTCAATTAAATTAATCAAAAAACTAATATTAATATTCAAATATTATTATTATGTATATTATTGTTAACAAAGCTTTAGTTCAGTAATTATTACTGTATATATTATATTTCAAATAATAATTTCATTCTATTTTTAATCATTATTATTCTTAACAAATAAATCTTTTGCTATAATACTGTATTTATCCTAAAACATTATTTGTATTTATTTTATCTTGTATATTTAAAACCAAAGCATTATCTATTAAATAACAAATTCTAAAAATTAAATTAATATATAAATTTAGAATAAAATAATAAATATAGTATAATAAGATGATAAATCAAAATAGATATATAAAGATCTAATGCTGTAATACATATAATTTATAAAAGAAGCTATTTTTCATATAACTTGTTCTTATCCTAATATAAAAACATAATAATATTAGTATTTTTTCTAACCTTGATCATTAAAATAAATTTAAAAAACTTGTATAAAATTAAACTTATATTAAGCATCTCTTATTATTTAGACGATCCCTATCCTGAGTTAACAATCACCATAAAACGTAAAATGTTGCATCGGTGTGACATATAACCGTAGATCAATTTTATAATAATACTGTATATAAATTATCTTTATACACTTCTGCACTTAGTTTATATCACAGGATGATCTACAAATATTGGCCAATCACAATGAAAGCCCGCTATGTTATCTTGCACCATAGAAATATTTTTGTTTATTCGTTAACTCTGAACTGATGAATTCACCTCCTTTGATTTCACCTTATATACAACGAAAGGGTTCTGCCACTGGGGGGACTAAAACTCCAAGACGTCCAAAGGCCACAAAATCACATACTGCGCCTCCAATCGCGGGTGGTCGAGTCACAAAACGTAATAGTGTTAGTAATGCCACGAAAACTGGGAAAGGCGAAAGTTCTACACGGGGCACCAGCAGAGGTGGTAGAGGTGGTAGAGGTGCTAGTACCCGTGGTCGCAAACCAAGTCTACAACGCCAGCAATCTTCTGGGTCTCTTATGCTAGAACATTTAGATGGTACTAATGCTCATTCAGTCGCAACAATTTCTGCTTCAAATGTCAATCCTTCAACTCCTAGAGATTTCGCTCCACAAACTCCCGGTGAAGAAATTGATCAATATATTAGACGGGATGAAGAAATAACCGATACTGATTTTGAGAAATCGAATAAAGATGTAAAACCTGTTGAGGATGACGACGACGATGAAGATGATGAAGTTAGCGCAACCGCGGAATCGGATTTACAGCGTGCTCAAATGCGTTCTCGAGTCTATGAACAACACAAGTGAGCTTTTGCTTTGAGATGGTGTAGAAATTTATGAAATCTATTAAAGATATTAATGATTCGATGTTGTTCAAGTATGTTGCTAAAAGCTTTCTCGAAAGAGCAAACTGAACGATTTGAAGTGTACAGACGTTCGGCTTTGAGCAAACCAAATGTCAAAAAGGTATTAACTAGTTAAGGCTCACATTAGAACCTTTCATTTCTTTATTTTTACAATTTTATGCTCACATAATATTTTATTGATAAACATTAGTTGGTAAGTGGTATCCTGGGACAACCATGTTCAAATAATATTTCAATCGTAGTAGCTGGATTTTCCAAGATCTTTATCGGAGAAATCGTTGAGAAAGGTATTATTATATAATAATAAATTATATTTTAATTTAATTGCATTTACGCATATAACTAATTTCTATGATTTAAAAAAGCGCTGGACATTAAAAAAGAGTGGGGTTCAGAAGGTCCACTTTCACCTGATCACATACGAGAAGCATTTAGAAGATACAAGCAGGAAATGGGTTTCACCTGTCATAATTATCAAAAAAGGCTATTGCGACATTAGAGCGTCTTAATAAAGAATTAACCTCTAGTTGATAATAGTTTAGTATTGTTACTGTTTATTTTTCCTCAAAAGCAGAAGAATCATAGAACAGGAAATATATAATATCATGAATTTTTAATTTTTTTGTTTAATGTTTAATGCATTCAAAACATTTACATTTATTCGATACAGCTAATACGATTTAGGAAAATTTGAGGTCCGCAATTTTAATTATCTATACCCTTAATTTTGTAAACTATTCCATGCAATCCGAATTCACTTTTGGTCTGCCTTTAAAATTAAACCATTTAAATAAAATTCTTCTAATTGTCCAAAGCGTAGCGGAGGTTTACATTTTAACAGTCGATCAAGATGTCACGCAGATCAGGTGAATAAATTTTTTACTATGAAATTTGAATGATCGACACTCATATAAGAAATTCGATTTTCATAGTAAATTGCAACGGTTAGCCATTTTCAATCATTGTTTTCAGGGGTTTCCTAAAAGGAAACTATACTCACGGGATGTAGTGAGTATTCAGAAAGTTAGATATTATGCGATGAGTAAGTTTAAAAAATAAAATTAAAAGAATCTTGCTCACAAAAATAGCCTTTTATTTTATATTTCATAATACTTGTAGTACAATAGATTTTAATATTTTGCTGATTAACAAAGGTATTTTTATGTAATATAAATATTCTTAACAACTTTACTCTGGTTTTAAAAGCTTTTTAATAAAAAAAGAACAAAGTACTAAAGTATTTTTTATTGTCAAAGATGAACTATAAAGATTTAAGTAGAAAATTATTATTGTAGCTATTTATACTAATTTAGTTATATTATGCAAATAGTTAACAAACATATACAGTATTACTGTATTAATAAAAGGCTGTAATATATAAATTTTGTTTTTATTAAAAATAGTATTACTACATATATTATAATTTTATTATTACTAGTTGTATAAATAAGAAAAAAAGATGAATTTGCAAAAAAAATAGTAAATACAAAAAATTAATTATCTTGTAAAGTATTGATCAGAATTATATAATTTTGGTACTGTTTAATTCATCTCATTGAAACAAATCGAACAGTACCAAAATTATATAATTCTAATCAATAGTTTACGAGATAATTAATTTTTTGTGTCTGTTATTTTTTTTGCAAATTTGTTTCACCAAGTTCATATTATAAATTCTTATAAAGCATTATTGGTATAATAAATTATAATACAGCAAAAGTGTAAACAATAGAAAATATAATTTTACTGTAAATATAGGTTTTTATATATTAAAAATAAAAAAAAATCTTATTAGCAAAATTGCAATCTATATACTACAAAATAGTTTTTCTTAATTTACTCTATATTTTTATAAGATACTTTTTTTTAAAAAATATATTTTATAGAAAGTTTTTACCTATACATATCTAACAAGCTATTTTCATATCAAAATCTTGAAAACTTTAAAAAAATCTCATAAAAAAAGGCAAAATAATTGCCCATCTTCAAAGAAGTTTTACATTACCTAGTAATATTAGTTTTTTTATATTATTTATACTATTTGATTCATTAAAGCTTTAGCAATTTATTTGTTTTAAAAAACATTATATATTGTAACTAAAACTTAGAGAGAAAATTTTTAAACCATAATTTTGTCAATTTGTGTAATTTATAAAAATTATATGATAAAAAATTAGGTATAACATCTTGATCGACTATTAATATATTGTTATTATATATGATATAGTAATATTTCATATAATAAACTACTTTTAACAAATTTGCAATTCATAATAATTATAATGCATTGTATTATAGTAAGGAATTGAATCTAGCAGATTCATAATTTTTTTTATTTGCATAATACTATGTATTATCTAAATAAAATTATAATACAGTCAACTCTTTTTAAACCGAACAGCAGGTTCTTATATGTAAAAATATTTAAAAGTTCAGTTTACAAAGAGTTATTATGTTGCTAATC